CAAGAAGATCACCATGAATTCAAGGCCAGCTGGCTACACATTGCATTCGAGGCCAGCATAAACTACATAGTGAGACCCTGTCTCAAAAAACAAAATAATACAAGCATAGGGCTATCACCTATGCTGGTTGTTGATAAATGAGAACCAGCCCTCACCAGGAAGGCACTAAATCACCAGGAAAGGAAGAAAATTGGGATTCAAACTAAATAGGCTGTGTTAGACCTTTCATAGCCCAGAACTAGATGACTCTAATGAGATAATTTGTAAAATCACTTACTATAAGATCTGGTTAGAAGTTAGGGTGAAATAGTATAAAAATGTTCTATTAATCAGACTAACAAACTGACCTACATTTGGCAAATAAAAGTACATCAATCACTAAGCAAACAGCACTTAAGCCTTAACAACCTCTTAAGCCTCTTTTTTTCCTATTCAGCTGCCTATGAATACACAGCCAGGTGTGTGGCTTCATGGATGAACTACTTTAAAAGAACATCATACTCACTTTGCACAGCACAATACTTAACATTTATAAAGTACTTTTCATTTTCAAGGCACTTTACGAATATTGGTTAATTACTTGTCACAGTTTGCAAGTTAAGGCTCATTAGTCCAATTACAAGTGGACCAGATGAAATCGAAGAAGTGAAGACAGCCCCCAAGGGAAGATCAGAGCTGAAGTGAGAATTCCAGGGGCTCTCTATCACCTATGCTGACTGTTTCTAGATGAGAACTGGCCTTCACCATGAAAGCACTCAATCACCAGGAAAAGAAGCAATCACCATTTCTGAGCATCTTGCTCAAGTGTGCCACTAAACACCAAAATGTCATATAAGGAAAGAGACAAAGTATTATAAAGGCTTATTTCCACACACCCCCAATAGTCAATCTACCCAAAGAGAAAAATAAGTTAACAGTGACTCCATTTTCATGAATTTTTTTTTCATTTTTTGTTACTTAGGCTTTGGTTGCTATAGCAAATACTTGAAACAAATAATGTTTTAGAGGAAAGGTTGATTCTGGCTCTCAGTTTCATTTCAGTCAGATGGCCTGTTGCTTTTAGGCCTGTGTTGAGGAAGCCCATCATGGGAGGCAGGTGCATAGTGGAACAAATCATCACCTCATGGTAGCAAGGGAGCAGGATCTCCATAGTTCCTTCAACAGCATATCCCCAAAGACCTAACTTACTTCTCCACCCTTTTATTGCCTCCCGATAGTACCACAGGCTGGTGACCATGTCTTAAATTTTTTTTTTTGCTACCAAGAATCAAATTCAAGACCTTGCACTTGCAAGACAGGTGCTGTGCCACTGAGCTATATCCCTGGCCCAACTATATTTTTTAACACAAGGGCTTTGGGGGGATGGCATATTCTACATACAAACTGTAGCACATCAGTATAATGCACAAGAAGTTTGGTTTTCTGAGTGTTAAAACTTTTAAACTGTTTTCTAGAATGGGTTTTGAAGAAGTAGTCATATCATAATTACAATATAGTCTTTCTATTGAGAACAGTAACATATGAATAAAATAAATTGTAGACACCAAGAATTACACAGTAAGAATTTTATTATTGTCTTGCAATTTCAGTTTTTCTTAGTGCTCCAAATGTTGTAGATGTATGTATAGAACCCTTATAAGTAGAAATAAAAATATTATTTAAAAACTGACCAATTTGTAACTTTAATACTTCCGATTTATGGGCTAGGAGAGGGAAAAGTTGAACATAAAAGCCTAGAAAATTTGGTAGCAACTTAAAAATAAGGTCTATTTGTATAAACCTGAAAGTAAGTATAATAAATTCATGTTTTAAAAATACAGAACTAAAGAAACCCAATCTTAGTGAATATTGAGTCATAATAAAATAGGATTCCAAAAAAAAAAAAAAAGGATTCCTTCTAGTAAAGGAAGCATCATATTGGAAATTGCTTAGATTAAAGCAGGTTTTCTACTTCCTTTGCATTTTTTACAGTACTCTATGTATACACAGAAAGACATACACATACAACAATATCTAACATATGCCAGATTAGAAAATTTTATTTTGCTTTTAACATTAAAAATATGGCACATGTATGTTATAGATGTGCTTTTCAAAAATCAGTGTTACAAAAAAATGAGTACTACGCTGGCCATGGTGGCTCATGCCTGTAAGGAATGCCACATGTTCAAGGCCAGCTGGGACTACATAGTGAGTTCACGGCCAGCCTAAACTACATAGCAATATCCTGTCTCAAAACAAAAGCCAAAAAATGAATGCTAAACCATTTTCATTTTAACATTTATTATAAATCATATTTTATAAACATTAGATAAATTGCTTATAAAAATACACATAAATATACAGAAACAAAACCAAACCAGCAGTACTTATTAATGGAAAAGAAACTAATATTATGTTTAAATATGTATAACTTAATAAAATTACTAAGTTTTCATTGCCAATAATTTTTCATGAATTTAAAATCTATTTCAGAAATGAAATATGGTACATTTTAATTACTATCAAAGTTTAGAATTAAAAAACAACTATCATTATTTAAAAAATCTTTTCAAACATTCCTTATGATTATCCTTAATGATAAATTAGGCTGGGGATATAGCTCAATGATAGAGTGCTTGCCTAGCATGCAAGAGGTTCTGGGTTCAAGCCTCAGCACCAATGAAAGAAAGAAAGAAAGATTAAACATTGGTAAAATCTCTTATCTAACTGAAGAGTAAAAATTTTTTAGGCTTTGGTTAACAGATCCTAAATTTAATGGAAAATTTTAAATCAACATCTCCCTTATTATTATATTCCTGAGTTTGCTAAAATACCATAGACAAATCTGTATCTTTGCATGGCATTGTATTTTAGTTTTCAAAAACAAAAACGTATTGTGAATATTTTAAATGTGAATAATTTTTAATAATATAATCATGATAGGAAGCAATATATTTAATGTAGCTTAACTAAAGTACAAGTTAATGCCCTCTAACCACTATTTGCAAAGATTATTTATAAATTATGATCAAAATACATTAAACCTGTGACAAATTTTTATTTTCACCTTATGAAATCATATTGATTTTATAAAATATACTCTTATAAAAGATGAAATCGGGGCCGGGGAGATGGCTCAGTAGAATAAGCACTTCCCTGGCAAGTGTTCCCTGGCCTGAGTTCAATCCCCGGTTCCACA